TACATATGTATATATATAGCTACATTCACAGCTACACGAATACAGTTACATACATGTATCCAGTTACATGTACAATGTATAGAGCTACATATGTACAGCTACACATAAATAGCTACATATATATACAACTGTGTATATAAATCTACATATAAATAACTACATATTTACAGTTCCATATAAGTTACATATAGAGTCAAAATTATACAGATGCATATATACAAATACATGTACAGCAACATGTCTGAAGGTATTTACTTAAAAACAACTACATATTTACAGCTATGTGTAAATAGATACATACATGCTGGTGAAAATAAACAGCAACATATATCCACCTACATATACACAGCAACATATATACACCTACATATTTACAGCTATGTGCAAATAGATACATACATACAGCTACATATATACACCTACATACAGCTACATATATACACCTACATATAACACGGATGCATATTTACAGCTACAATTACAGCTACGTATTTACAGCTTTATGTGAACAGCTACATATACACCGTTACATATAAGCAGCTATATATACACAGTAACATATACACAATAACATTTACACAGCTACACATCAACAGCTTCATGTACATAGCTACATATACACAGCTACATATACACAGCTACATATACACAGCTACATATACACAGTTACATATACACAGCTACCTATACACAGCTGCATATACACATATACATATACACAACTACATGTACACAGCTACATATACACAGTTACATATACACATATACATATATACAGTAACATATACACAGTTACATATACACAGTTACACATACACAGTTACATATACACAGCTACATACATTTAACTACATATACACAGTTACATAAACGCAACTACATATACATATCTATATAGACACAGTTACACATACACAGTTACATATACACAGCTACATACATATAACTACATATACACAGTTACATAAACGCAACTACATATACATATCTATATAGACACAGTTACACATACACAGTTACATATACACAGCTACATACATATAACTACATATACACAGTTACATAAACGCAACTACATATACATATCTATATAGACACAGTTACACATACACAGTTACATATACACAGCTACATACATATAACTACATATACACAGTTACATAAACGCAACTACATATACATATCTATATAGACACAGTTACACATACACAGTTACATATACACAGCTACATACATATAACTACATATACACAGTTACATAAACGCAACTACATATACATATCTATATAGACACAGTTACACATACACAGTTACATATACACAACTACATGTAAACATCTTTATATACACAGCTACATATACACAGTTACATATACACAGTTACATATACACAGTTACATATACACAACTACATGTACACAGCTACATATACACAGTTACATATACACAGTTACATATACACAGTAACATATACACAGTTACATATACACAGTTACATATACACAGCTACATACATATAACTACATATACACATTTACATAAACGCAACTACATATACATACCTATATAGACACAGTTACACATACACAGTTACATGTAAACAGCTTCATATACACAGCTATATATACACAGTTCCATATACACAGCTACCTATGCACAGCTACGTATACACATATACATATACACAACTACATATACACAGCTACATATAAACAGTTACATATACACAGCTACATATACACAGCTACATACATATAGCTACATATAAGGAGCAGCTTAAATAATTTGATGTAAACAGCTATATAATGGTCTATAAATGCTAGAACATTTAATTCAACAAAGTCATCATTAACTCGAGGAGAGATCTGTACCTGTATATCTTCATAAATCATCTGAATATAGCTCTCTGACTTAACATCCAGAAATATCCATGATATATATGACTCAAATTAGATTTCTTTAAGCCACAATACTTGCTGTTCTGTTTTAAAGAACGTGTATATTTGATGTCCGACGATGATAAAAAAAAGTGTTTGTTCTACGCTACATCTGAGTGATATAAAATTTGTATAGGCTCATAATCACGTGAACGTGACGCGGCCCTAATTTCACATACGTAGCTATTAAACAGGATATATACCTGGATACTTGAATCGACATGATACCTTTTTAGATTAGTTCACTCTCCTACTGTGGTATCCTCCAATACCCGTTTTCGTAGCTGGTTATTCCGTCATCCAGTAGATACCTCTTGTCATCAAAGGGTCACAGTCCAATCTTGTCTATGTTGATGTTTTACAGTTGATGGTTATAGATCCGGTCCTACATCATGTTTGATTTGTGTACTTTCCGGTCGAAAAAACACATCTTGTATTCTTTGTACTGAGTGTGGTTCTTAATGACACTTTTTTTGATGCCTTTTGCCCTTTTCGTCTACTTGCGTAGTGGTTTCTACCTTCTCCCCGTCTATCTCTTTCTTTGTTGTTATGTCGTAGACGTAGGCATACATTTAAATTTTTAGCCCTATGAAGGCATGTTCCAAATGTGTTGTCTTTCATCTTTCCCAAGACTTTCTTGTTGGTTACACTGTATAGACCATGCTCTTTGTCATATTCTGACGTATCGAGTAGGTGGTGGGCCTGTAGCATGTCCTCGTAGACGTCTTCTGTCCGTACGATATACGCCAAACTGTCGGTATCAGAGAACAAAAGAGTTGCTTTTTCTAATTACTTTCCCTTGATGACGTTGTAATGGAAATCATAGATCAAGGTTTTCGAGATGTCAAGGATGGCAAACACTACGTAAATGGGTCGATTCATTTTCAGGTCTTCTAGTAATTTTGAGACATAAGGGGATAACATGTCTTCAGTGACCTGCATTCTTTTTGGAGCCAAAGGGTAGTCGTTGTGTAGATCGAGTTCTTTGGGATAATTCAGATCTACTTCTAAAATTTACCTCTTAGGCGAATTGTTCGAAATACTCGTAATGTCAATGGTATCTCTTTGGTGTCGATTAGCCAATAAAAGTCGTGAATCGGAAGAGATTGTGACATGGCTCACTAATACAGATTATTTCAGTGAAAACATTTTTTTTGCTCGGATCATGCCCAGGGACATATTTGTTATTGACATCGGCATGCCTTTATTTACCACCGCGGATGCTTTTCTCAATAAAAAATGCGTATCAATTTCTATGAGAAGCTCTAGCTGAACACCCGTCATTTTTAGTCCAGCCTGCAAAGCCAGGCCTGGAAACGTAAAAAGTGGTCTGTGTCCAGACCGTTCGAAATGAGACACAGATTTCTGATTTTTGTTTGCTAACGGTACGTATCCATGAGAACTTGATCAGAATACTCCCCGGGATTCTTAATCTGAAAGTCATTCCAGACACACCAGATGTGGTCGTACATCTATTGAGTGATGCCTTCCCCCGACAAACAACTATAGAATGCTTGTTTCGTTGGAAGTTTTATTTCTTGGAACCTATGAGGTCCGTTAAAGTAATTGTAGGGGTTTCCTTTTTTCTGTAACAACAGATCCAGATGGTCTTTCCCAAAATGTTGGGTCACGAAATTGAATTTCTCTTTCACATCCTGTGCTAGATTCTTCATCAGTTTCTGGAGAGAGTTTTGGAGAAATTGGAAGCTATCAATAAACTCCATGCAATGATAAAGAGAGATATTTGTCCATGTTGTTGGATATACAATTGATCTCTTTGTTTCGTACTTTACCTAGGGCTTGCACGATCAGGTGCGAATCGTACACCCTCAAATTGTGAAATACTACTAGAATGCGACCCATGTATATGTAAGTAATGGTACAATCGTTTTGCGCTGCCCCCTGAACTCCCCAGTCACGTGGCAATGGTCTCTGACCCTCTCCCAGATCGTACAAATATGGCATTTGGTGGCCTTTGTGAAAGACATTCAGCCAATGGTTGGACATGTTTAAATTGATGCTCTATCTCCTCTTGTTCACGCACCCTACATTCGACAAATGAATTAGCAACGTCTGGTCCTCTGTAGACTACGAATGTTTTCGAGGTCTCTTGTATGGGACATACTACTTTATACACGAAACTACAGGGAACGTGTTGGGTCTTATTTGAGGTGTATGACCCATTCGGATCTTTCGAACAACCAGATATCGGTACTTGAAATGATTCGAAAACCGCATAAATAATATATGGTGATTTCAATCGTTTCCTTAAGTCTTTGTAGAACAACCATTTGTGATTTTCTTTCGGAAGTTCGACTCTCTGAGTACCGTGCTCGCGACAATACGACACGTGTTCATTCAAAACGCGCTGTTTTGTAAAGCTATGGAAGAAGTAGATGCAATGGAAATACCTATTAGAATGTGTGAGCGATTCACGTTTTTATCCAACAGAAGTGTGATTTTTAACAGTCGGATATCATAAGTAGGTCGACGTGGCGCTCGTAGCGCTGTTTCGTCGCATGCACCGGAAACAAGTTGCCCTTTTCATACCCCAGTACACTGATTGATATGTTGTTTTGTGTCTCAATATCGCAATGTCAGACATCGACACCGGGAATGAGATTCCCGTGAAATCGAGCTCGGTCTCGCAATTTGTGTAATTACTGACACGTTGTGTGTTATTTTTGTACGAATGTAATGCAACCAGTACCGGCCACATGAAACAGTTGTTGTCTTTGTTTTGGACATTGACGATCACATGTTTAGAGGCTTTCAGAGGATTATGACAATTTAAGTGTATTTGTATAGGTAGGAGGAATATCTCTTATTGATAGACACTTTCATGTTTTGGTACACATCTGCGGATTTGAGACTTATCTGGCATTTTCGAGGGAAATGTGGTGTGACACGCTCCACGATATCCTCCTTTGGCTTCGAAAACTGGACATGAATAGACAGATACCATTTGATATCCCCATGCAGAAGAGCTTTGTTTAATTTTTTTTAGCGGACCACTAGCTTTACAAATCTTACCGCATTAGTCAGTAGTAGACCTGTGTATACGCGAGCTAATGGAGCATTGTACTACAAACGTTAGGCTAGTGTATGTGTACACTGTCGTATCGCATGGGTAAGTTTACCTGGGTGACTATAGTGTGTGGTTTTAATGACTGTCAATGTATTTTGATGCTATTGTTGTGACATAAGGACGTGGCAATAAGGTATAGTGGTATATGTGTATAGTTTTTAACCACGGATATTCGTCAAGACTGAATGGTGTAACTTGTATGCAGATTGCACAATAATGAAGAATGCGGTTCAGTGATCTACCCAACTATGCGGATCAAACATGGTCGACATCATCTAAAAATATGTGGATAGGAATAGGAATCTCCTATCGCGTCGTCATGTGGTTTCCCCACTAATCGTAAGGAATATTTAACTTGTACATGTACGAACGTTTTAGAATGTTCGAGAACAACCATCTAATATAGACAGTGCGAGGGAAATTCCGTGACGTCATCATTACTTGGGTGGAGCGTCTTAGGTTGAACAGGATGGAGGTAAGGATTATATAAGCGGGGGACTGCGCCAGAACCATCACTCTCCCTACTACTGTTACATGGGGATATTGTTAAGAGAACACTTCCGTCTGAAGTGATGATAAATATATAGGTACGTGTACAAGATTGGAAAGATAAACACCGATAGACAATTACATAAAGATTGTGATGATGGATACTTTTATCTGTAAGGTTGATAGACAATTACATGAGGATTGTAAGTATGGACTCTTCCGACACACATATGTATTACGACTAAAAAGATGGACTCTTCCGCCTGCAGGAATGATAACAATTACATGATGACTGTACAGATGGATTCTTCAGTCTACAGTGATGATAAACAAATGCATGATAACTGTAAAGATGGACTCTTTCGTCCGAAATGAGCCGGTGAACATTCATATAAGGACTTCAAAGATGGAAGCGTCTGTCTATAATGTAACACACTAGCAGGAAGACAGTTAGGACGGTGTTGTCAATGAGATATGTCTATGATGTGACACACTAGCAGGAAGACAGTTATGACAGTGCTGTCAATGAAATATGTCTATAATGTGACACACTAGCAGGAATACAGTTATGGCAGTGTTATCAATGAGATTGACGCGTCTGTTTATACTGACAAGTGTACCGCGCATCAGTGATTTTCATGATTATACATCTGCTTAAATTTAAAGCAACAACAATATGTCTGCCTCTACCTTCCGTCAGATCAACAAGTCGACCTTTGAACACATCAAATATGGTGAACCATGTCCTTTACCTCGTGTTATAACTCAGGTAAGATATATGATATATAAGCTTTCGGATATGCTATATATATATATATATATATATATAATGCTATTGTCAATGTATGCCCCCTCCCCGTTATGAAAGGGTCTCTGACGTCAACACAAGATAAACTGATTGCTAATACTAACACATAGCATGTAAATGATTGGTTTTATTTCAGCACGACATGGCTCATCATCATTGTTAAAACTAAACGGATATCAAGGCCCGTCTTCATGAAACTGGTCGCATGCTCAAACTCAGATTCTGTGTCAAGGTCAGTTTCTTGTTGTTGTGAAAAGTACACAGCATGTCCATGAATTGGACGAATTACAGAGAGACTTAAAGCTGAGTATCATTCACTCTCAACACCTGATACTTTTACCTTGTAGCATGATTTAAGCAATAAACACGAACATAAGTTTTAGCTCAGAGTTCATGCTTGAGTACGAGAACAGTTTCATCAAATTTAACTCATTCAGTGTGCTGACACGAACGATAGAACGTACATGTAGTGAATTCACTGTATACTAGACTTAAACAATTTTAAAGTCAATTGCATAAAATTAACATGTAATATCTGTCATTCCTATTTCTTTTCCTTTCTTCCCTTTCCTCCCGTTTCCCTTTCCTACGTATATGTATTTGATGGGTGTTTGTTATTGTTGTCATGTAATTTGTATTATAGAATATGTGGGATATGGTGCTTAAAAGTTATGATAACGTTTGTCTGATCCTTTTGATGTGTGACAAATGAAATATGTTTGAAATAAAAAGGAATTTTGAAACGATATATATATTTCCGTTTAGGGCCTGTTAAACGTTTTAATGAGTTTGAATGTATATGTAGCAACTTGAAGCAGATGTTTAACACTATAAGCGATGTTTAACGTGTTACATCCGAAAGCGTGAACCTATATCGTGTTTTATAAGAACGGCCCTAATACTCTGTACTCCAATCTCTACTACGTCATAAACAACACGACGCACACATATCTGTTTGCCAGCCCAGTCCGCCGTGCGCTATGGTTTAGCACTTCATTGATGTGCTTCAAAAATAGCATACATTGACAGACATTTATACACAAAAATCTCTAACATATGCAAACCTAATGCTATTAGTATACATATATATCAATACGTACTTTTATCTTTCTCACGTGTATCCTTCCCCTTATGATACACAAGATATAAAACTAATGCGATATAGTAGAGAATAGGAAGCCGAGCAAGCCACCCAACCTGAACATTAACTAGTAAACCAGACAAATCAGGAGGTAAACCAGCCCTTCAAGGCTCGACACTTCAAGTTGCTGGGATAACTCTACCATATCCACGTAACAATAAACCGTTGACCCTGGAAAATAAAATTCAATAGATATGGATAGGTTTTAGTTTTCAAAAACAGCGTCAACTATATTAGGCAATATTCTGGCAATACTCGACCAATAGGAACGGCTTACTACTAAGCTGTACGACTAGTGGGACAACTTCGCCTAGGCCAAGTGGATAAAGCGTCTAACATTTTGCTACCACTAACTAGCCCTCCACCACTGGGTCGCGAGTTCGAGGCCTACTTGGGGCAGTTGCCAGGTACTGACCGTCGGTCGGTGAGTTTTCTCCGGGAACTCCGGCTTTCCTCCACCACCAAAACCTGGCATGTCCTTAAATGCCTATAGCGGTCAATAGGACGTAAAACTAAACAAACCTAATTACGCGAATGAATTTAACATTTTTTATTTGTTTTTAAACATAATTTATATCATATTTTTTTTTACAGATGCTCCGTGAGTCATGGTTCTACATAGTCCAAGACAACATTTCCCAGCGTCTGGTACAGTATCTTGATGACTGCCACGGTAACGAGGAAATAGTGAAGAACAGGAGAAAGGTTAAAACCATCAGAGAGTACATAGAAAAAAATTCAAATAGCGGTTTACTGAATATGATCAGTGGTGGAAGTATTGGGGACGGGTTTCGCATAGTCACCTCAGATTTAGACGTAATGCACTCCCTGGAAACTGTAGTGGTAACCTATCCAGATCATATGAACCTCATACCTTGTAACAGTGAAAACAAGACAATTCTGTTAATGAGGGAAGCTGGTTGCAGACCTGGGTATGTTAACCTTGAAATATTTCAAATTGGAGATGAAGAGGGGAGCAATTCCCGATTTCAAAAAGCGGTTATTCCTGTTGGTGATTTGTATGTTTTATCTAGTGATATCTATAGACAAGAGACCGTGGCAACTATCAGTAGGGCAACTGGTGCGGATTTTGTTTCCAATGGACCATGTACCACTCTATTCTTGCATGGTAATGCAATAAGCCTTGATTTAGCATTCTCATTTCCGTGTGTATGTTGGCCGCGGGTAGCTAATGAATGGAAATACCGAAGTCGCCTTCATGGTTGGCCATCTCAGACAATGATTCACAGGATTGTTCAAGGTGGGTGTCATCTCGTACCTGTTGGTGATAAGTGTTCAACAGACACGCTGCTACAATGGAGGATTTCATTTGCCTGTGCAGAACAACTATTAGTTCATTCTCTCACTCATCCGCAGTTCAGGGTATACGGATTACTGAAGTATTTCCTTTACCAGATCAAAGACTTGCTGGACCATATTATTGGGGATAGTGATATCCTTTGTTCATATTTTCTAAAAACGGTTATCTTTTATGCCGTTGAAAATTCACCACATTTGCTATGGGATGATCAAAACACATTTATATGTTTTCGGTTCTGCCTGTCTATTTTGATTGTTTGGGTCAAATCGAGTTATTGTCCAAACTATTTCATCAGAAGAAACAACATGTTTTTGAGGAAAGTTCATGGGGAAAACCGTGAAAAACTGCTTCATTTTCTTATTGATCTCTATTACCTAAACTGGATGTGTTTGTCAATAGAATCGGTCAATACTCCAAACATCGGAGTAATGCTCCAACAACACCAAAGTTTGAAATCAATACAACATTTGGAATGTCTGAGGGACTTGGACCTTTTTCGGGAATGTTTGTTTCGTTTAACGCCGGTAGGTAACGAGAAAAAAAAGCTGTACCTTTCAATGAAACACCTCCTTGAGGCTAAAACGGATGTGGATGAGTTCATTGCTTACTGTGTAATGACTACTACACTTTACGAAATAGCCTGCACATTGTTTAACGTGTATACCAATATTAAAAGCAACAAACAGAAGTATTTAGCCCTTAAGAAATGTAAGCAATTACTGGCGCGGCAAGCGTCGGTATGTACCAGTCCGGGACTGATGTTTTTAGCAACGTTTTACTACCTCACAGGAGATTACAAGAACACAATTAGAATGTGTGCAGAAATGACGTCGACATTTAAGCTATACATTGGCCAATCCATAACAGAAACTGAAGAATCTAGAGAACAATACCAAAGGTTTTACTGTGGACAGGGATACCCGTTACACAAGAGGTTTAAAGAAGGGGTGTATTCGTGTTTGTGCTTTGCTCAAGTAAGCCCTTCACTATGCTTACCTCATCTACTTCCTGAAGTTTTCAAACATATAGTTGTAACAATTCCACCACTAGCGTATGCACGCTTCCTTTCCTTCCTGTGTTACCACGACCTTGGTGACATAAGGAGACGTGACACAGAACTCACCAACCTTCGGGCTGTGAACTACGACCCTGTACAAGGGGGACACGAATACTGGATAGTACACACATTGCTAGGGATCTGTTACCAAACTGTGGGTGACAATCGCAGGGCGATCAGGTCATTTACGGACTCTCTACGTAGCATACCTGATGATAACGCTGCTAAAGAGAGAATAGAGGCTCTGCGGAAGTCTGAGTAGACACAATAGCATAATGATAGCACATATGTTGGATACAATCCAAGCTTAAATAACGTCGACAACAACACATTTTAATATGTAAGCAGTTAATATTTTCTTAATATTTATTCACAGCAAAACAGTGCATATTTATTGTATGTTATTCGTAATCATTTACGAGTACTGTTAACTATTATATATTAGGAATGACTGCACAATAGCGAATGCTACTCGAAATGTCCTTCAAGAACGATATTTCCCTTATAAAATCCCTACTTCGAAATCTTACCCTACCAAACTTTCCCATTCCCTCCTATTGATGTTTGACATCTAAAATTCCACTAAAAAAACATTGTGTTTGTGATTGGAAGCATGTAAAATATAAAAAAATAAGAAAATAACACCAATGCTGTGGTACTTGCTTGAAATTATCACAACAACAATCTTACCAACATGCATCTCCCCGAATACGGCAACGAGTGTGACCATGACCATTGGGCTATACCGACTATGCGTTGTTTACTTGTAAAAAATACACAATGATCTTGCATGGCTTATACATATGCTATAAGAACGTAGATTGATTATTGCTGTTCATTTTGTTATGTTCCCTATAGGAACTTTGTAATAGAATATATCTGTTATAGGTACATGTTGTATAAAAATAGCTTTATGAGGCCATCCCGACAATTGAAACAAGGCTGATGTCATGCTGTTTGAAAGGTCACCGTTTTCAACATTTCCAAAGCATTTGTATGACCAAGGTATTTTAATGTTTGAATGTAAGGCCTCATCAGGGCTACATGTACCAGAAATATGTCATCCCCACATCATTTGTATTGCCAAGGTTCTTCAATGTTTGAATGTATGACCCCATCAGCGTTATATATACCAGGAATATGACATCCCCACATTATTTGTATTGCTAAGGTTTTTCAATGTATGGCCCCATCAGCGTTATATATACCAGGAATATGACATCCCCACATTATTTGTATTGCTAAGGTTTTTCAATGTATGACCCCATCAGCGTTATATATACCAGGAATATGACATCCCCACATTATTTGTATTGCCAAGGTTCTTCAATGTTTGAATGTATGACCCCATCAGCGTTATATATACCAGGAATATGACATCCTCACATTATTTGTATTGCCAAGGTTCTTCAATGTTTGAATGTATGACCCCATCAGCGTTATATATACCAGGAATATTACATGCCCACATTATTTGTATTGACAAGGTTCTTCAATGTTTGAATGTATGACCCCATCAGCGTTATATACACCAGGAATATTACATGCCCACATTATTTGTATTGCCAAGGTTCTTCAATGTTTGAATGTATGATCTCATCAGCGTTATATATACCAGGAATATGACATCCCCACATTATTTGTATTGCCAAGGTTCCTCAATGTTTGAATGTATGACCCCATCAGTTTTATATATACCAGGAATATGACATCCCCACATTATTTTTATTGCCAAGGTTCTTCAATGTTTGAATGTATGACCTCATCAGCGTTATATATACCAGGAATATGACATCCCCACATATTTGTTTAGGTCCAATCAACATAACCCTGGATAGGACTTCCCCAACATGTCTGTATGATAAGGAGTTTAACATGTGCGGACATTCCTTTCATCAAAACTTTAAGGTACATGTAGTGGAATACTTGCTCCAATAAGTCGTCATAGTAGTGTTCTACACTTTGCAACTCGTGTGTGTGAATTTAGATTGCTTTATTGAAAGAACAGGTCCGGATATTGGTGTTATAATTATAGGCTCTTTATTAGAAGCGGATTATATCGAACAAATGAAAATTAAATCAATTATATCTGGAGCCAAACAGTTGATTTAAAACAATGGGAAATTTTGACAATACTAAAATATATACATTAACGAGTTGAGAGCATGTCCATTGTGACTGATTAACAAATGGTGACGTAATGTCGAATAAGATTTGTTTTTTCAATTGTAGTTTTTCTATGATTTTTTAAAAAGTACAATGCATGTTTCCCTAGGGAGACTTTTCTTAGGTATAGGGTGTAGCTTTTGAATTTTATTACTTTTTTTGTCAGTAAGAGATCGAATTCCGTCAACCCGATAAATCTGCTCTCACACAGTGACAGATATCAAAAGTGACATTTGTCGAAGTTTGAAAATATCTCTTTGGGTATTGACCAATCGAAAAATCTCTTTCTAGTAACTTCATTTAAATCCACAGATTCGTTGTTCAGATACATATAAAACGACGGGATGATAAAAGGATGTGTTGATACATCTTCGCTGCATAAACTAAGGTATTGATACTGATAGGATATGACGCCAGCGATTAACCTTCTATGCAGTAACATTGTCGTAGTTGTAAATAGTTATAAAATGCAATAGATTTACAATATTTTGGTTTTCTTGTTGAATACTGTAAATATTTCGTTCGTATTGCAAATATACTGATACTTTCACTCGTGCGTCACACACGTGAAAATTGGTTTTCTGCTATAATGTGAATCTATTATAATTTTAGTTTACACACAATACATTTATCTCTGTACATTTTTTCATTAATCATCTATGTTTAAATTTACTGTATAGATTGCATATGTTGGATGTGTGGTCTTCTACTTACTTATTTCATCTTATGTAAAGAGCGTTTAGGTATGGTCAGTTTGCTTGATTAAAAGTGTCTGTAGCGGGGAGACAGAGATGGGAGGGTGCCTGGGTGGGGGTATGAGTACATAGGAGCCTGGAGTATTTAAAGTTTATCAAATACTCGTTTTGGCCTCTCAAATTGTTGGGGACAACAATTTGTATACCCCCAATTCAGATAATTGGATGGATAAAGATAATGGGTAGAAGTCTACCTGTAGTTTAACAATATATGGTAGAAGTCTACCAGTGTAACATTAGATGGTAGACGTCTACCAGAGTAACATTAATTGGTAGAAGTCAACCAGCTTAACTATCATAGATGTTAGAAGTCTACCAGTTTTAGCAATAGATGGTAGAAGTCTACCAGGTTAACAATAGATGGCAGAAGTCTACCAGTTTTAACAATATATGGTAGAAGTCTACAATTTTAAATATCGGTAGGTAAAAGTGTATCAGTGTCGCATAAGATGGTAGAAGTCTACCAGTGTAACATTAGATAGTAGACGTCTACCAGTTTAACTATAATAGATGTTAGAAGTCTACCAGTTTTAACAATAGATGGTCGAAGTCCACCACTTTAACTATATATGGTAGAAGTCTACCAGTGTCGCATTATATGGTAGACGTCTACCAGTTTAACTGTAATAGATGTTAGAAGTCTACCAGTTTTAACAATAGATGGTAGAAGTCTACCAGTTTAACTATAATAGATGGTAGAAGTCTACCAGTTTAACTATAATAGATGGTAGAAGTCTACCAGTTTAACTATAATAGATGGTAGAAGTCTACCACTTTAACTATATATGGCCGAAGTCTACGAGTGTCGCATTGTATGGTAGACGTCTACCAGTTTAACTATAATAGATGTTAGAAGTCTACCAGTTTTAACAATAGATGGTAGAAGTCTACCACTTTAACTATATATGGTAGAAGTCTACTAGTTTTAACATTATATGGTAGACGTCTACCAGTGTAACATTAATTGGTAGGAGTCAACCAGCTTAACTATCATAGATGTTAGAAGTCTACCAGTTTTAACAATAGATGGTAGAAGTCTACCAGTTTAACAATAGATGGTAGAAGTCTACCAGTTTTAACAATATATGGTAGAAGTCTACAATTTTAAATATCGGTAGGTAGAAGTCTACCAGTGTAACATTAGATAGTAGACGTCTACCAGTTTAACTATAATAGATGTTAGAAGTTTACCAGTTTTAACAATAGATGGTCGAAGTCCACCACTTTAACTATATATGGTAGAAGTCTACCAGTGTCGCATTAGATAGTAGACGTCTACCAGTTTAACTATAATAGATGTTAGAAGTCTACCAGTTTTAACAATAGATGGTAGAAGTCTACCACTTTAACTGTATATGGTCGAAGTCTACGAGTGTCGCATTGTATGGTAGACGTCTACCAGTTTAACTTTAATAGATGTTAGAAGTCTACCAGTTTTAACAATAGATGGTAGAAGTCCACCACTTTAACTATATATGGTAGAAGTCTACTAGTTTTAACATTAGATGGTAGACGTTTACCAGTGTAACATTAATTGGTAGAAGTCTACCAGCTTAACTATTATAGATGTTAGAAGTCTACCAGTTTAGCAATAGATGGTAGAAGACTACCGTTTTAACTATAGGTTGATAGAAGTCTACAATTATTAATATAGGTAGGTAGAAGTCTACCAGTTTAACAATATATGGTAGAAGTCTACCAGTTATAACTATAGGTTTGTAGAAGTCTTCCAGTTTAACAATATATGGTAGAAGTCTACCAGTTGATTTATATATATAAATAGATTCGTACGAGTAGCCCCCGAGAAATCACTGTTATGTTGTTGTGTAGGGTTGGTAAGAAAGGTTTATGTAGGTCTGTAAAGTGTTGTAGAATATTTTATGCATATGCTTGTGTGGAACATTGTAAGAACAATGTGAAATTATGGTTACTATGATTAAAACATGTTTACTGTTATTTCTGTCTCGTTGTATTGTGTGTAAACTCGTGATATATATATGTTATAAATTGTACAACATTTATACAGCGTCATATATCATTTATAAAATTACTCTAAAGCGCTTTACAACATATGGATAACAGTATTAGGCATATATGATAAACAAAACAGGCATACAAATCATCATCATACATTGATATAGAAGATAATTATCTCAATATATATATGAATGAATATAGAAAAAAATAAAATTAACGACCGACTAAAAAACTAGCTGCTTTCACCCTTCACGGGGCTCTTCAAGTCTATTCAAAAGAACAACGTCGTGACGTCACAATTACATGTCATCACAATACAATAGTAACGTGACGTCACGAAGTACACAAGATTGGTGGACATATGAATAAATATATATAGGGTGGTGTGTACATGACGTCTGTGGAAAGACTAAAATGCAGACGTGAAGAGGTGTGGTGTTTTATCCTTCTTGGTAATCAACGGGAAAACAGCAAATATCCTTCAGTAACGTGTACTGTTGTTATTTCATAATGAGATTAATGGTTCATTTCTCCATGTTGTTTAACGCATAATAGATATAGAATATGCCATATCTATGAAACAATGAGTTAATAATCTTGTATTCATGTAAAAGGATGATTTGTCTTCTAAATGTAGAAGAAGTTGTATCAATAAACAGGATATTTCTGAAACGATGGTTACTTTATGTGATGCTATGTATCTCAGTGACAGAGTAAAGTTTGAAGGCTATATTATTTAGATCGATACAAAAATTTGAGTTTTTAAAACCTCTTTGGAGAAAGATTCTAAAAATGTTAAAATATTACAAAAGTGATGGCTACTGTTATTGAACAGGATATATACCTGGATACTTGAATCGACATGATACCTTTTTAGATTAGTTCACTCTCCTACTGTGGTATCCTCCAATACCCATATTCATAGCTGGTTATTCCGTCATCCAGTAGATACCTCTTGTCATCAAAGGATCACAGTCCAATCTTGTCTATGTTGATGTTTTACTGTTGATGGTTATAGATCCGGTCCTACATCATGTTTGATTTGTGTTCTTTCCGGTCGAAAATAACATCTTGTATTCTTCGTATTGAGTGTGGTTCTTAATGACACTTTTCTTGATGCCTTTGGCCCTTTTCGTCTCGACATGCGTAGTGGTTTCTACCTCCTCCCCGTCTATCTCTTTCTTTGTTGTTATGTCGTAGACGTAGGCATACATTTTACTGTTTACCCCTATGAAGGCATGTTCCAAATGTGTCGTCTTTCATCTTTCCCAAGACCTCTTGTTGGCGACACTGTATAGACCATGCTCTTTGTCATATTCTGACGTAGCGAATAGGTGGTAGTCCTGTAGCATGTCCTCGTAGACGTCTTCTGTCCGTACGATATACGCCAAACTGTCGGTATCAGAGAACAAAAGAGTTGCTTTTTCTCAATACTTTCCCTTGATGAAGTTGTAATGGAAATCATAGATCAAGGTTTTCGAGTTGTCAAGGATGGCAAACCCTACGTCGATGAGTCGATTAAAATATAATCGTTGCTCGAACATGTGCACGGTCCCAAGATCGTCTACAAGTAGCCTGAAGGCGTAAAAGCACGGTTTGCAGGTGAGTTTCTGATCTCGCTTCCCACTATGTATAAGTTTCAAGTCCACTCTTTTTCTTAGGTTTTCCGTGGTGTTGCCAAAGTCGTTCTCGAACTCGTTTTTTGCCATTTTCCCCTCTCTGTGTTAAGTCTATATATGCCTCCAGCCAAGAAGATTGCTTAAGGGGGAGCACTCTGTGGATTTTGGTCACTCGCATTCCAAGGGAGAGGTATTGTTTGGGATTTCTATAATGAAGCACATATTTTTCTTTTAGGTTCAAATTGGGAACTAGTTTTTTCGGTTGAGGTTCCTTTTATTTTCAGGTCTTCTAGTAAATTTGAGGCATACGAGGATAACATGTCTACAGTGACCTGCATTCTGTTTGGAGCCGAAGGGTAGTCGTTGTGTAGATCGTGGAGTTTATTTGGATAATCCAGATCTACTTCTAAAATTTACCTCTTATGAGAATCGTTCGAAATACTCGTAATGTCAATGGTATCTCTTTCTGTGCCGTTTAGCCAATCAGAGTCGTGAGTCGGAAGAGATTGGGACATGGCCCACCCATACAGATTATTTGCATTTAAACATTCTCTTTTCTCGGATCACACCCAGTTCGTTATTGGATTCGGCATGCCGATGAGTTATCATCGGGATACCACCGCGGAAGCCTTTCTTGATAAACAAATGGGTATCAATTTCTGTTAGAAGCTCTAGCTGAACACCCGTCATTGTTAGTGCCACCTTCCAAGTCAGGCCTGGAGACGTAAAAGTGGTCTGCGTCCTGACCGTTCGAAGTGAAACACAGATTTCTGAAATTTTGAAAAAAAAAATCTGCTTAACAGAACGTATCCATGACATCGTGAGAACTTAGAGATCAGAATGCTCTCCGAGTTTCGTAATCTGAAAGTCATTCCAGACACACCGGATGTAGTCGTACATCTCTTGAGTGATGCCTTCCACCCGTCAAACTACTATGAAATACTTCACTTTTTGTAAACTATAAGGTCCGTCAAAGTAATTGTAGGGGTTTGCTTGTTTCTATAACAACAGATTGTCTTTTCCAAAATGTTAGGTCATGTAGTTGAATTTCTCCTTCACATGCTGTGCTAGATTCTTCATCAGTTTCTGGAGAGAGGTTTGGAGAAATTGGTAGCTATCAATAAACTCCATACACCCCAATGTTAAAGAGAGATATTTCTCCATATTGTTTAGTATGCAATTGATCTCTTTGTTTCTTACTTTACCTATGGCTTGATCAGGTACGAATGTGTATTTTGAGAACCTTGTCGAGAGTTCAATTACTTCCCTGTCGCTGATATTCGATGAAGGAGGAATATCTCTTATTGATAGACTCTTTCATGATTTGGTACAAATCTGCGGATTTGAGACTGATCTTTCTTTTTCCCTGGAAATGTGGTGTGACACGCTCCACGATATCCGTTCTTTTATGCCGTTGAAAATTCCCCACATTTGCTATGGGATGGGCAAAACACATTAATATGTTTTCGGTTCTGCCTGTTGATTGCTTAGGTCAAATCGAGTTATTGTCCAAACTATTTCATCAGAAGAAACAACATGTATTGAGGAAAGTTCATGCGGAAAACTGTCAAAAACTGCTTCATTTTCTTATTGATCTCTATTACCTAAATTGGATGTGTTTATAAATAGAATCAGCCAATATTCCATACATCGGACATCTGATCCAACGACTCCAAAGTTTGGAAGCAAAACCACATCAGGAATTTTTGAAGTACTAAACTAGCCTGTACATTGCTTAACGTATATAGCAATTCTAAAAGCCCTCAAGAAATGTAAGCAATAACTGGCGCGGCAAGCGTCGATATAAACTAGTCCTGGACTGATGCTTTTAGCAGCATTTCACTTTCTCGCAGGAAATTACAAGAACACAATTAGAATGTGTGCAGAAATGACGTCGACATTTAAGCTATACATTGGCCAATCCATAACAGAAACTGGAAAATCTAGACAACAATACCAAAGGTTGTACTGTGGACAGGGATACCCGTTACACAAGAAGATTACAGAAGGGGTTTATTCGTGTTTGTGCTTTACTCAAGTAATTACTACACTATGCCTACCTCATCTACTTCCTGAAGTTACCAAACATATCGTTGTAGCAATTCCACCACTGCCGGCAGCCTGCCTTTCCTTCCTGTGCTACCACGAACTTGGTGACATAAGGAGACGTGCCACAGAACTCACCAATCTTCGGGCTGTGAACTACGACCCCGTACAAGGGGGACACAACTACTGGATAGTACACACAATGTTAGGGATCTGTTACCAAACTGTGGGGGACAATCGTAGGGCCATCAGGTCTTTTACTGATTCTCTACGTGTAATGCCTTAATGTTGTCAATGACAGAATTTATTTTTTTAATTAATTATTGCGAAAATATTGTATTATTTTATACCACATTTCTTAATTTGGAACGTATTTGTCTCAAAGTAAATCAAGTGAATCCAAGTTTGGCATTTCTGAACAGTCTAACGTTCAAGTGCAATATTATTGTACATGTATATGGAGGAGAACAAAATTAGGATTGTACTGTTTGTTCTTGGAAACAAGTACACAGTCAGCTTGGTAAGCTATAGTGTCGAAAAAAGTGTAGTAGGGGCGATAACTCTGTTATCGTTCCTCAGAACGAAATGATAACACGGCTAAATACAGCTAATTTGCCGCATATATCAGCGATTCGATACAAAAAAGACAGCTCCATAACTTTTGCTGAAACTTTCCATGTTTGTAGAACTCAGTGCGATCTATCTCCTTGTATATCTGTTATATCTGGGGGAAATCTAGTTATGGAGATATTTGAGGTCAAACACGCAAAATCGGCATTTTGATCACTAGTTTCTGTATAATTCAACCTGGAGAAATAACACATAAAGCTGACAAATAAAACCCTAAACATAAGTAGTCTGAAGAAAACGGTATATTTAGTTTTTCGATATCTTTCACAGAACGGCCCCTAGAGGGTTTTGAAGATGGGGTGTATTTCTGGTGTTTCGTGAAATTGTCCAGAAGATCCGATTTTCCCGTAGTCAAGCGCCAATTTGCGTACCCCGTCTAGGCTTGAAATGAAATAAGAGCTTGTTGCCTATGCGTTAAACATGACAAAATGTTCTAGGCGCTTACACGGATCAACTTGTAGTGGTGAGTTGGATTGAATTTTTACTAGTGCCAGTAATTTTTAACATTTTATGATATCAAATGCGATGTTCTAGTTTATGGCTATTTTACTACGATCAATGTTTGCTGCTGATCACAATCATGCATGTAAGCTATGACCCAGCGGTTAAAATATCTAGCAAAATCCCGTAGGCCTACGTTGCAGACGTGGAACAGTTGTCGTTTTTTCAACATTTATTTTGTTA